ACCTTTCTACAAAAACTCCTAATAAAACAGCGAATACAACTACTTTGTTCTGCAATGTCAAAATAAAAAACATTAAGCCCCTCTTACACACAGACTTAGGTCGCTCGACGGTCTACGACAGAATACATTGGAGTTTTTAACAACTTAATTGACATGCTATCCACAATGCACTATACCGTTTTTTCTATTCCACTGATTTAAAAATATAATCCTCAAAAGTCTTATAAAATTTACATGATTGAATATCTTAGTTGGCTTAGTTTATCACACCCTAGGGAGTCGTTCCAGGTTTAAGGAGATGCAAACAAAAATAATTTAAATATATATCACGCTGTTCTTTACCAAAACGCGTTCCCTAGAGTAAAAACGGAGAACAAAGGACTCTAAAGCGAGAATAACAATGAAAAAGTTTGAAAAAAAAATCACCACTAACTTCGGATACGGAAATGCCTGCAAACAAAGAGATATTGTTCCAATCAGCTTTTTCAGCAAACTTTATAATTTACTACGATTGTGCAACTTTTGTAAACCACATACGCCATAAAATTAATTTTAAAACGACTGCCATGTCAATGGAATATGGCCGTAAAAGCCTTTACTATACTATTAGCCTAGTTTGTAAAACCCAGTGGTAAAAGTTTCGTTTGAGCGTAATGTGCATTTCATAATTTCATAACGAAACTCGCGTATCAAAGCAGCGCAACACAATTTATAATTGTGGACGGAGTAATAAAACCCCCGAAGAGTTTTACCCTTTGGCACTTTGTGTAATGTAGCAAGCAACCTTAACGCCTCTGGGAGAAATAACGTTTACAACTTTTAAACATTAACAGGCCTTAAACTGTTATTTAATTATTTTTCGTTAAATCTCTGCCTGCGGTTAGTTGATGAGTGATAGGAAGACCGAAATTCGTTCTGCAAGGGCGAGATAAACGCATGCCATATATACAGAGGCCAAATGAAAACGAAACAGATCCATTTTCAGGAACTGCGTCAAGATTGTAGAAAAACGCTCAGACCCGTCGATTTTAGATTAAAGGGGGGCATTCTTTGCTGGTATTTTTGACTCCGCCACTTTCGCCCCCAAGCAAGGGTAAGCATCACCCCAAAATATTTAAATGGCATTGGGGGTTGAGTAATATTTCTTTTGAAAGCTCTTACAATTCTCTTTACAACAGACTTTAAATTTTATAATTCCGCCCAATACTTATTAAGAATTTTGATTTTAAAGTTGAAACTTATGTACAAACAATTAGTAACGGTAAAAATGTCAGTCATTCGAGTTAAGTACGCCAATGGTATAAATTTAGTATTTCTTGCGTTACATTGGTTTTTGGCGATTTGTTATCACTTTCGAAAAAAAACACAATTGTAAAAAACAGAAATGAATGCTATACACACACAATGAACGTAAAATTAGTGGATTCCAAATTATTTTCTAGTATTATTTGGAAGCGTTGGTTGGTAGTTTATTTAATTGTGTTTTTGAAAATTAAACACTATGGTTTATTCCATTGCGGAAAGGGTAGATATCATTTCGCTTTACTTTATGAACAATAAATGTGCGAATAGAACAGCTCAGCTATTTAATGAACGACATCAAGATCGACATGTCAGGAGGAAGTATGTAAAGTTAGTAAAAAAATTTCAAGAGACGGGGAACGTAGATAATAAAAAACGAGAAATTGAAAAACCTATAGTTAATAAAGATAGTGAAGTTGCAGTTTTGGGACAAGTTCATCTTGATCCTACATTAAGTACGAGGCAGCTGGCATCTGTGTCTGGGATCAATCGAACTAACATACAAACTATTTTGAAGAAGAATAAATTCCATCCATACAAAATACATTTAGTTCAGGAACTTCATGAGGATGATTATGATCGCTGTTTGCAATTTTGCGAAACAATGAGTGAGCGAGCAGGGAACGATTCACAGTTCCTTTTTTACATCTGTTTTTCTGATGAATGCAGTTTTTTCTTGAAAGGAACGGACAATTGCCGCTATTGGTCCTATTCAGTTTTTCATGAGGTGCATCACAACAACAGGAAAAATTAAATGTATAGGCTGGAATTTTCGGTGACCGGCTGGTGGGTCATTTTTTTCTACCTGGTAATTTGATTGGCCAAATGTATTTGTAATTACTGGAAGACGCTATTGACCCTGCCTTGACTGATATTATTGAAAATGTTCCAGAGTATGATGATCATTTGATTTTTCAACAGGACGGTGCTCCTTCGCATTATGCGTTAATGGTCCGTCAGTATTTGGACCAACGTTTTCTACGGAATTGGATTGGGAGAAGAGGCAGCATTTAGTGCCTCCACGATCACCGGATTTATCGCTCCTTGATTTCTTTTTGTGGCGATACCTAAAAAGTAAAATCTATAAAACACAGCCAGCATCGCTGGAAGATTTGCGTCAAAGAATCGTCGACGAATGACGTCGAATCACTCCGGAAATGCTTCGGAATGTGCGCGAACGTTTCGAACAAAATCTTTATTCTTATATGGAAGCGGGCGGTCATCAGTTTGAACATTTAATCAACTAAGTAGTAAGTAAGCAACTAAACATAATTTAAATTTTAAAATGTAAATTTTTTTCAAAGTATTGCGCGGAATTATAAAATTTAAAGTCTGTTGTAAAGAGAATTGTAAGAGCTTTCAAAATAAATATTACTCAACCCCCAATGCCATTTAAATATTTTGGGGTGATGTTTACCCTTGCTTGGGGGTGAAAGTGGCGGAGTCAAAAATACCAGCAAAGAATGTCCCCCTTTATTCTAAAATCAACGGATCTGAGCGTTTTTCTACAATCTTGACGCAGTTCATGAAAAAAGCTCTGTTTCGTATTCATTTGGCCACCCTGTATTTTCAACTAGTTCTAGTAGAGCAACCGATAGCTAGGAAACGAGGATTGCTAGGGCTTCGCCTAGTTCGCGTGTTTTATTATTTCCCGCAGTCTTGAAACTAGGGCGGCCATTATTTCATTTAACGAGAGAGTTCGTAAAAGTGTAATTAAAGTACCTCTCCCAATGTTCAACGCTGATTAGAACAGAACATTATGGCGCAACTTTTAATTCATTTTGGTAAAGTCTGGCACAGCTGCCGTTAAGTTTAGGTGGATGACCATACCCTGTTTTATAGACGCTGTTTGCATAAATTTCGATCGTAAGACTGAGGTATTAGTTTACCCTACCTTGTGTAACTTCATTTATGGGTGATTTATTTTCCTGAATATGGCAAAAGTAATCTTTTAATAAAAAAAAATTGTCGTAAAAGATTAAATTAGTAAAAATTTGAAGGATTGTCCATTAGATTCGAGGCTACGCTTGTCTCGCTGCTCACAAATTATGTTTGTGGTATTGCTGACGGCTTGCACTAGGTCTTGTTCGGTATTAATTACTTGAACATGGAACAGAACTGTATATAATATTCTGCTCCAATTGTTGTTGTACTCTAAACTGTGGCAAGGGAATTTGAGAAATAAATAACATTTGCAACAATAAGTACGCTTCCTACATTATTTTATTATTTTTTCCCTCAGATTTGATTAAAATAGGGAACACAATTTTCGGCATATTTTTGGTTTTGTTGTGCAAAAAAGAGGTATAGATGCTAGCTACGAGGTTGCCCAGTGACAGACATTTTATGAGAGCTTATTTGAGGTTAGGTTTTTTACAACGTATATCGTGTGTTACAATGTAAAATTGCATGTTACATAAAAGAGGTGCCCTTGTTAAATTCGCGCACCATTTTTGAGAAAAACGCAATTGACTATCCCAAAATCAACAAGCTCCTGTTCCATAATCGAGAGTGCCTCGAACTGATGGTGGTCTCCTTGGAAGGAACTGATTTAAATCAAGTTATCTTAGTATAAACTTGCTTCCTAAGTTATTTTACTAGTTGAAATGGAATAGAATGAAAATTTTAGAATATCGATAATTTTTTAAAGATTATTATTAAATTATACTGATTGTATTGTTTCTATCCGAGAAAATCATTCTGGAAGTTTGGTTCATTCGTTCGCATATACCCTGTATATTAACTGGTTGACTTTAGGACAATCAATTACGTTTTTTTATATCAGTGCATTTGCAATAATTTCAACAAGAACACGATCAATTTCAGACCCCTCTGTTTTCGACCGAAGCAAATATTGTTGATACTAAAGATAGGTTTTTAAAATCATTCGAGTTTAAACAGGGCTACACAAGGTTTAGGCAAGTTCATCTGAAGAAACAAATGAGCAATCTTTAATTTCGAAAACTACTTATTTGCCACAAAAATGGCCTGTACAAAGGTGATAGGATTTCACATGGGTTCCACATCAGTAATCTCTTGACCTAAAACCTGGCCAGTCCTCCTTACCTTCGGTTCACACAAATCCAGTAGTGGAGGACTAAATCGTCATAATTATTACCTTCAGCTTCAGCGTTATTGTGCACCACGAGGAGTTTTTTCTTGGTTTGACCTTTAAATGACCTTGAAATAACCCTTAAATGACCTGATACAGACAAACTAACCTCCAATTCGGACTCAGCGACCCAAAAAACCTAAGCTTCGAGATTCTTTGATTTAATGCACTTTTTCTCAATCTGACCTCTAATTGACCTTGACCTTGACTAGGAAGGAGTTATTGGATATAAATAATAAAAAAAATCTTTTTTGGAGAAAAAGTAAACAATAATGACCCCAGAAATGTTTTTTCTTATTTTTTGACATTTTATCCAAAACATCCTGTATACTATATACACACATTGTGCGGCTGGTTCACAAATAATTATATGCAGGAAGTTAATAACTTGCGGACGTAAAAATACAATTTCCTGTGTATACGTAATTATCACTCATATGTCGTAATATTCTTGAGGAGTAAGTGTTGCCATTGTTACAATTTTGCATCGCAGGATTGTGTAACAAATTAATTATAAAACAGATAGAAGTGTTAAGGAAACACGTTTCTTCTAAAGGATAATAGATAAACTCCTTGTTTTTTTCAGGAGAACGTAGAAAACAGTCTGGAAAGCATCCACGAGGTGGCAACGAGGAGCTTGGGGTCGCTTTGCGTAACGGAGCAGTTCCGGTCGCTAAGTGTGCCCCTGGACACGCTGATTTTCGAGTCTGCGCGTCAGAAGGCCGATTTGGCCGCCACCTTGCTTCAAGATTTGGGTGTCGCTCATCACAACGGTGAGTAAAAAATAAGAAACATTAAAGCTTAGATATGAGTTTAACGCCAATTTATAAATAATTATGCAAATGACTATTTATTTCGACCTAACCTACTCCATAGTTTCATTAAAAATAAGAGAACTGAGAAATAGAACAGTTCTATCTAAAAGGACTTTTATTTTTGCAAGGAACTAAAAGACAGTAAAGAAATGGTCACTTTTTTAAATTCATTTCTGTTCCATTAGCGGGAGTAACGATTGAAATTCATTAAAATAATTACCTTCTATTCCCAGGGTACAGGGGAGACTGGGGTCGACTTTAACAAAAATTACATATAAAAGTCTCAAAGTCTATATCGTTTAAAGTATTTTTTTGGAAATTTTGTCAGACTTGCATATATGCTTACCAGATTTAAATTTGATGTTGAATTAGCTACAAAAAATCATCTTATTGTACAAAAATAAATTTATAACCGTTATCAAATATAACATTTCGTGCAATTGTAACAGACTGCAATAAGTAATGAAAAAAGTATGTATATTTTTTATTAAGAAATTTATCACAAACTCTAAATTGTTTATATTTGCTTTAAAAATACATAAATAAATTATTGCAACAAAGCGAAGTAAATTTAACTAGCAACATGTACTCAAGAATCCAAAAGTAATGTCAAATCTAGTGGTTTAATGAAAAATTTGACTATTCTAGAAATACCAAGCTGAGATTTGAAATTAGTGCAAATAAAATACTAATTATGCTTCTCATATAAAGAGCATACCAGTTTTCATACCTTTATTAGTGCAATTTGATTGTAATTTAGCAACAATGTTAGCAAACTTTTTCTCTAACGAAATTCAGATTATTCCACGTCCACACTGATAAGAACAATGTCAACTATACATACTAATACCGTTGTATCTTTTCCATTGCGTCACAAGCAATATTCGTAAGAACTAATACAAAAAATCCTAGTCAAATTAGTCACTGTTTTCACATTATTGAAATGTCATCTTGACAATTCCCAAAACTGGATGTCTCCCAAATTACTAGGTACATACGTATACTAGTTGCCTATATCGTTACATTTATGTACCTATTCGAAATAAACAAACGGAAATTGTACTAAGAATTTCTCGTAAATTAGTAGTAAAATTAGTACAGTAGCACCGGCAACAATAACAATAAGAACGGCAATAACAACGACAATATCTAATCAAAGGCAATAACGCTCTTAAATTTTAAACTACTGAATTACTTGAACTTGTTTCATTAGTCGACAGTATTCGTAAGGAGGATATGAAAAGTTCTAACGAGTTAGCAAGGAATACTTTGACTACTATAGGAAGGGAACTCTGACTACTTAGTATATAATACTCTTATTATAGATTAAAGAAGTCTGCTTTAGTTGTTACTGTTGCTGCTGCCACTGATGTAGATATTATTGCTGTCGTTGTTTCTGCTGCCGCCGCTGCTGCTGCTGTTGCTGTTGTTGTTGCTGTAGTAGTAGTAGTAGTAGTAGTAGTAGTAGTAGTTGTTGTTGTTGTTGTTGTTATTGCTCTTGTTGTTGTTGTTGTTGTTGTTGTTGTTTTTGTTGTTGTTATTGTTGTTGTTGCTGTTGTTGTTGCAGTTGTTGTTGTTGCGCAACAACTGCTGTAACACCGACAACAATAACAATAGCAACAGCAACAACAACGACAACAATAACGACAACAACAACGACAACAACAACAGAAGCAGCACCAGCAAGATCAATAACAGCAATAACAACAACATCGAATCTAAGGCAACGACTTTATCCTATCTTCAGGTAACAGCATCAAAACATGAATTATTATAAAAATTTCTTGATGACTGAATTCAATCAAACATAAATGCAAGATTACGTTGTCCATTTAAAAATATTAAGAAAAGAATTTCATAAACAAACTCGGTTTTATTATAAAATTAATTAAATAATTAAAACAACTGTCAAAATTTTAATCTGAGTGTCAGCTCTGTTTTGTTTTAACTGAGGTAGTCAAAGTAAGTACCCAACAAACCTTCACCATTTTCTTTCACTCTAATACTATTGGAACTATTGTCTGTGATAGATTGAGACTATGAAGACATTTATACCATCATTGTATCTCTTTTTGACGCAATAAATAATGAATCTCGACCACAACGACTATCTTTGATATTAGGACACACTCGTGACGTAATAGCAATCTTAAAACGGTTCTAATATAGTTCTTTTCTCTATCAAGCTAATATGTCGAAACATTATTCGAGAACATTGACTAAGTGACCATAGTTAGCTAACAATGTTGGCACCAGTGTGGAATAACGTTAACTAGCTTTGTTTGGTGAACATTACCAAGTGAGTATAATTAGCTAACAATGTTCGCGTTAATGTGGACCCGATGTTATAACCGACACCTCTCTCCCCTACTTCCAAAGGGTTCGCATTAACGCGATAAAAGTTGCGCCAATTATTTTAAAAGCAATCTGTAAAGTTTTTCAGCAAAGTTAATTAGGAACTCGGTCCACCAGTTGTCCCCCTAATAACATTTCTTCCGCCGATATCGAGAAATCCTAGTACAAAGAATGTCTACGTTAAATTAAAAAATAAATGAAAGAGGCCTTTGCGCTTTTTTTGTCCTTCCTTGTCTGCGTATTTCCAAATGGAAGGAGCGTTTTGCAGTACGTCCTTTTGTTCCCGGAATAACAGCGGTAACTAGGGCACGTCTGTCACGTTTTAAAGAAAGCGCCGTTATGAATTTTACAGTTGTTAGCGGTACAGTGTCTCCCAGCGGCAATATACAGGGTAACAAATAGATTATACTAAAAAAACTATCGTACTTTAAACGAGATAATATTTTAAAAACTCTTTATTTCACCAAATAACTGTTTTATTATTTCCGTACATACTTTTTCTATTTTCTGCTATTATGTTTTCAGCCATGAAAACTGAATAATTTCAAATATTTCAAATTTTCACCACAAAAACGGCGCCGGCGGTGACAACATTTTTTACTGCAAGGCGATGTTTCGCATCTTATTAGCTATGTCCTGTACAAATTTAGTTTCGTTCAGTGCTCAGTTCAATACCTATGTATGTTTTTAGGCATGAAAATTGAATAATTTAAAATATTTCGAATTTTCCCCACCAAGAACATTTTTAACATTAAGGCGATGTTTTGCATTATATTAGCTATGTCCTGTCCAAATTTAGTTATAAAAGTTAATTAGAGCAAAAATGAAGGAGTTATCGTCTAAAACAGGTGGGTTGCTCATATTTTTTAAGGAAAAATGAGCAGTAAACGCTGTACCTTTTCCATCAGAATTAAAACTAATCGTAGACCCTTTACAATTAGTTTTGTTTTAGTGTTTTTCATACGATCCTGAAGTTGGACCGGTTTAGAATGCGTATTTTTTTAATAATGTACGGTAAAAGTTGAAAACGTATTTTTCATTATTCAAAAAAAATTGCCTTATTTATATAATAACTCTGAAACTATGAAAGATACATAAAAAATAATAGACAGCAAAAATGTAGCTTTTTTTTTCAACAAATATTCTGCTTTTTTTATTCCTATAGCATAAAAAATAAAGGAGATATCGTCTCTTGATGTACTCATTTTAGTGAAAAAACGATCTGTCTCGAGCCCTTCGATCCTTTCCCTTTAAAAAACTAAGGACTTAAAAGGTTTTATATGCAAACGATCTTACAGCTCTAGAAATTATCTTTAAAATGCTTTTTTGTTGTACATAATAGCTTCAAAATTAACCGAGTTATGGTAAAAAAACCAATGACATTTTTTCGGAGCAAAATTAGCTTTCTCATTTTTATATATTATATATTATATTATACAAATAAAATAAGTAATTAAATTTAGTGTGATTATTTATATGCAGCGTAGCAATTTTTTTATGATTGGTTATATTTAAAAATCGATTATAATAAAAATATTTTACATTAATATTGGTAAAAGGGTAGTCTATAAGAGTTGAAAATGGAAAAAGTAAAATATTCTTTCATAAACAATATAAGGGAATATTTATTTTAAATTATTGCACAATTATAGCATTCCAAGATTTAAAACGTAATTTTTTTAATTTTTTTAGCACAGGGATGATTTATAAGGGTGGAAAAGTGTTATGAGATACAAATTCTACCATAAACAATGAGGGAATTTTTATTTTAAATAATTACACCGTTAAAGCATTCCAAGCTTTTAAAAAGTAATTTTTTATCATTTTTGTCAATACAGGGGTGGTTTTTAGAGGTTGAAAGGAAAAAATTCTTTTATTAGCTATAAGGTAACTTTTATTTCAAATAATTGCACGATTTAATCATTCCAAATCTTTAAAAAGTAATTTTTTATCATTATTTTTTGCAAAGGGGTAGTTTTTAAGGGTTAAATAAAGGGTCGAAAAGATCAAATATATCATAAAACATGTTCGAGAACATGAAACATTAACATAACATAACATAAACACCTTTGTGCTCGAAAAAGATTTTTATCAATAAAATGCTTGAAACTTAATTTTTTCAATTTTTTTCACTTAGAGGTAGTTTTTACCCCTAAAAAACAAAAAGCGTCAATCGGGCTTATGTCACTTTTGAACTTGATGCTAAGATGAGCCTTATTAAATTTTCATGCAAATCCATGCAGTTTCAAAGAATTCGGAGATTACAGCTGATTTTCAGCTTCAATAACTGTACTATTAGTGCAACTCTCTCGGTTTCGAAAATTCAATATCTATGTTTTCAGCCACGAAAATTGAATAATTTCAAATATTTCTAATTTTCACCACCAAGAACGGCGGTGACAACATTTTTCACAGCAAGGTTTATTTCGCATTGTATTAGCTATGTCCTGCTCAAATTTGGTTAGTGCAACAACTAATGATATTATGGGAGAAAACTACTCTGCGTACTAAAACTCCGTCCACCGTGTTGAAATACACCCTTAACATTTTATTTTACTTTACAAATACACCGTCCTACAGTTACTACCAATTACCAAGATAAA